TCTGTTCCAAGAAAGAGGAAGGAAGGGTGTAAAAGGAGGAGAGCAATTTGAGATGAATAATTTACCAATAGAGGTTCAAGGGAAGCAAATCATACTTTTTCCAGAGTAATTACTGCACCGTTTGTTGTTATTCCTTTTTCTATTAACTGGGCCATTGGTAGTATGTACGATGATTTTACTACCGAGTATAGGTACAGAGCTTGATGAGTAATGATCCAGACGAAGTTTTATAGAAAATTTTAGTTCCGTGCGTTCAATTTCATCACATTTCAGGTAGCTTCCGGTTATTGTGTGCATACATTCCGAGGACATTCTGAATGGGTACGAATGGTGCGCGTCTCACCAGATGGCGTACTTTTTGCGTCCGCGAGTAATGATCAGGTGAATGAGTATATTTCGCCGCTCTGTTCTCATTTCTGTTGGGGAACGTTGTGGAGGGGTAGTAACGACATTTGACATAGTTCGCCTTGAGAAGCATTTTGCTGACTCCCATCGATCACTAGTAGCAGGAGCTTACACTTGACAAGGGTCTACAGTTCTACGGTGCGACGTGTAAATTAACAGGAACTAGCCAAAGAAACTAGCGAAAAGCGCAGTACCCCTCCTAAGCCCAGTTCCGGATATTTTTCAGTCATAGGACTGGGTACGACAAGAATCATGTTGATTGTTGAATCATTAAAATTGTAGAGAGATGCTGAAATATTTGCGAGGCGAAAACCGTTTCGAATTAAATCCGAGGTTATTGTTGGAATTGGATAGCATGTGGTTTCGACGATATGTGCGATAATCTGAATGCTAATTACCTCCGTCTTCTCTGGAGTATAGAGCGAGACCGTTTATAAAGCGCACTTGCTCTCCAAAGCGTATTTTTTGCGTTCATGCCTACACGAAGGATCTTCTTTAACCCATTGCGTACCGCGGCGTTTTCGCGAAAACGGGCGCCTGTGGCCGAGCCATATTTCGCAACCTCGCCGGCGTGCTGCACATGGTGCAGCACGCGGCCACGCAGAGCGGTATTTCTCGCGCCCGCAGCGAAGTATAAACTCAACGTACGTCATTTTTGCTTCTCCAGGCTATTTTTTTGGGAAACCACCCCTAATTTATGGTAGCCGTTCCAGATAGGCAATGATGGACGCGCTGAATAGATCGTTCGATAAACTTTTGA